TCTGATATCCTGTCTACCACATATCTTGTAGGATTTATGATGATTAAATGAATTAATATATGTAAACCATTTGGAATATACTCTCGTGTATAGTAAGCATTATATAAGGGTTGGGCATTAGTATTTTCATATAAAAGTCAAGAGTATCAGTGTCATTGCCATAGGCTAGATTTCAGAGTGTGGATACAAATAAGGGGCCAAGTCAGCTTTCTCCTTTGAGTTAAACTTACACATTGAATCAAAGGAGGAACCCCTGGACATCTTCCAGCCTTTGCCTGCAGTGTGGGTCCTCCCTCAGGGCTTACTGAATGGAGAAAAGGGCAGGTGAAAGGACAGAGAGACCCAAGAAAGCTCAGGCAGCTGCAATGACATTTTCCCTAGTCTCACCAACCAAGTAAGCCACTTCTCTCTTGTGGGGAGGAGCCAAGAGAAAATACCTCTGAGACAGATGCAAATACTGTGTTATGGGTCAGTAAGAATTCAGGGAGAAGGAAAAGTGTCTTGTCCAATGAGTTCATAAAGCCAGATTGGGAAGGAACTGTCTTTGTCTCTATCTATGCATCTCTTCACGCTGTTTCTTGGGACCGAAACTGCTCTTGCCCCTTCAGATCAGATAAAAGCTTTCGTGAAATCACTTCTCTTAACTTGTATTCCCTTGCGTTAGTCCTGTAAGTTTGTAAAAGTGCCCAGTCATTTCTGAATACAGCCTATGATAGACTGGGTTGAAGTTGAGATGCATGAGACAAAGAAAATATAAGATCAAAGTTTGGACTGCTATAGATGTAAACCATCCATCCATTCTTCCCTCCCTCCCTCTCCTCCCTCCTTCTCCCTCTCTCCTCTCCCTCTCTCCTCCCTCCCTCCCTCCTCCTCCCCTCCTCCCTCCCCCTCCTCCCCTCCCTCCTCCTCTCCCTCCTCCCTCCTCCCTTCCTTCCTTCCTTCTTCCTTCCTTCCTTCCTTCCTTCCTTCCTTCCTTCCTTCCTTTCTTCTTCCCTTCTTCCTTTCTCTTTTTCTTTCTTTCTCATCACTGCTTCTCTTTTCTTGGTTGGATATACTGACAAAGATTTGTTAAAGTAAAAACTACACCTCACAGAATGTTTAGGTTTAGAAACAGTCAGAAGGACTTTATTTGATTCAGGTTTGTTGTAAATGTCTGCAAAAAACAAACAAAAAAAGAGAGAGAGAGCATGAATTTTAATAACCATTCTCAAAAACTATTGCTTAAGAGAACAATGACCCAAATATAAGAACAAAGAACCTTGCAGAAAATTTATTTTTAGTTCCATTACATAGTTTATGAATTTTCATAACCTCTGACTCTGGTCTGTTTAATGACATTACACTATAACCTGAACTACAATTATTCAAAAGTAGTGCTTTTCATTTCAGATAGGAAAACATAGGCTCATAATAAAACAAGGTGACATCAGGGGATTTTTTTTAATGCTTTTAATTGAATGAAAAGCTTATGGCGGAGAACACAGAGGAACCAAACTGTTTTCCCTTAGTTGAGATTTTGTTGATTAATTAGCTAGGTGAAAGCTTTTTAAAAACATATTTTACCAGATGGATACATTTTATTTTTAAAAATAAGCACAAAAGGCTGGGCGCGGTGGCTCACGCCTGTAATCCTAGCACTTTGGGAGGCCGAGGCGGGCGGATTGCTCAAGGTCAGGAGTTCGAAACCAGCTTGAGCGAGACCCCGTCTCTACCAAAAATAGAAATAAATTAATTGACCAACTAAAAATATATATACAAAAAATTAGCCGGGCATGGTGGCACATGCCTGTAGTCCCAGCTACTCGGGAGGCTGAGGCAGTAGGATCGCTGAGCCCCGGAGATTGAGGTTGCTGTGAGCCAGGCTGACGCCACGGCACTCATTCTAGCCTGGGCAACAAAGTGAGACTCTGTCTCAAAAAAAAAAAAAAAAAAAGCACAAAAAAGAGAACTACTACACAATACCTGAAAACTATAAGGTGTTTTTATGCCTAAGGCTATTGTTTGATGGTTCTCTATTACTTATAGAAGAATCTGTTCTTACAGGGATAGTATAATATAGGTTTCATACTTACTCTACTTAAAGATTATAGTCATTGTGGACTGAACATATGTGTGTTTCAGAAATTCACGTACTAGAGCCCTAAGCTCCAGTGTGGCTATATTTGGAGTAAGGAAGTAATTAAGGTTAATTGAGGTCATAAGGGTGGGGATCTGATCTGACAGGATTCATGTCCTTCTACGAGGTGATACCAGAAAGTGCTCTCTCTCTCTCTCTCTCTCTCTCTCTCTCTCTCAAAGTGCATACAAGAAGAGGTCATGTGAGCACGCAGTGAGAAGGTAGGTGTTTGCAAACCAAGAAGAGATCCCTCACCAGAAACTGACTGTTCAGGAACCTTGATCTTGGATTTCCAGCCTCCAGAACTGTGAGAAAATAAATTTCTGTTGTTTAGGCTACTCAGCCTGTAGTATTTTGTTACAGCATCCAGAGACAGTACCTAAGGCTTTTTTCCCTTGGAAATTCTCCTATAGTGTCTGCAGTAGGCTTTTCTCTTTACCTTCAGCTGTGACATGGGTTCATTCTTTTTTTTTTTTTTTTTTTTTTGCAGGGGTAGTAGGGCAGAGGCTTTAAAACCTGGTACATAATCCAAGCCCTTCTCTTCATTCTGATGAGTGTCCGAAGAAGCACGTGTTGAGATAGAGCTCACGATTGCCTTAGGTCCTGAGGACCTAGATGAGCAGATCACCCTCCATGTTGGACAGGGGGCATGAGAGAGAGAATAGGTGTTTGCTATGTTAAGCCACTGAGTGTTGAAATAATTTTTCCTGCCACCTGTCCTGATGGATCCTCCGTTTCAAGGATGTCATTGCAGAATACAGATTACCAGGGAGTTAATTTGTGGCTTTCCGTTTCAAAAGCCTACGGCCCAGGTACACAAACCACATGTTCAAAAGACCAGCTGGAGATCCAGGCTGCCCTTTGCAAGGCTAAAGATTCTTTGGACTTCCCCATGGAGCACCTTGGGGAAAGCAAAATGTGTGGGCACTAATATGTCCCTGAGTCCTCTTCCCCATCTGTGTCTCTGAGAGATGGGAGCTTTGTCTAGAAACCCCAGAGAGGCTTGGAGATTCAAAAGCTGAAGGAATCTGGGTCCCATTTCTAGAAAAACCCTGCAGCCAGCTCGATCAGCCAGGGGCAGATCACATTCAGCAAAGTGTATCTACAGTCGAGTCACTTCACAGACTTCTCACCTTGATCCGTGGCACAAGATCAAGAGAGGAGATCTGCATGCTCGGTCCAGGCCTGGAAACAGTGGGCAGTGTGGAGTTGGGGGGTGCCTGGCTGGCCTGAAGACACCTTCTGCTTGGGAATTGGGGAGGATGTGGTGGCTCCCCCTAGTGGCTCTGTGACAGCCGAGCATACAAGGTCTCCTGCTCTGGCTCCTCACCTCTTTGGCCACATTCTCCATCATTTGCCTTTGTGTGTCCTGTGTTAGCCCGTTAAGCTGCTTATGCTTTCCTAACTCTACCCAGAAGTCCCGTCACTCTGTGCCTTGCATCTTCTGTCCCTTCTGGTGTTCCGTTCTCATTCCTTGTTTCATTGAAAAATATCGATTCATCCGTAGAAATACATCTGATTGTCACCTCCTCTGTGAAGCATTTCCTATTCATCAGTGTCATTAATCATTCTTCCTTTATTCTACCAATGTACCTGAATCTTACCTCTATGCAATAAAATTTGACAAATATTTGTGGAACAAATACTATGTGTCAGATACTCTGCTCACCAAAGAGTAAAGACTGGTGGACAAAGAAAATAGAGTTCTGCCTCAAAGTAGTAACTCATTGCAGTTACTACAGCTGCAGAACACATCACCGCCAAACTCAGTGCTACATAGGCATGGTACCCACCTTGAATCTTGAGACTTTTGTAGGTCGGGAATTCAAGAAGGTTCCAGCTGGATTGTTAGTGTGGGGTCCTCATGGGTTGCAGTTAAATGGTAGCTGCATCTGGAGCAGCAGGGAGAAAGGAGAATGGGAGCAGCTACCAGCTGGCCAAGCATCTCTCTCTTTAATTTGGTCTCACAGCCTCACCATGTGGTCTCTCTGCATGGGCTAGTTTGGGCTTCCTCACAGCATGGCATCGCCAGGGCAGTCCAAGTGCTTACGTGGCAGCTGAAGTCTTCAAGAGTGAGTATTCCAGAAAGCAAAGCAGAACTTACTTGCCTTGTAGGACTCAGCCTTGGAAGTCACACACATTGTCACTTCTGTTGCATTCCCCTCAGCTGAAAGTGAGTCACCAGCCTGAACAGACTTAAGGGCAAGGGAGTTAGTAGGGTTTACCTCTAGATGGGGGATTGCAAGGTTCTAGAAGAGCATGTGGGATTAGAGATGTTGTCCTAGCCAGCTTTGGAAGACACAACCCTCTGCAATTTTATCTAGCACTTACCATGCTTTGATGCATATCCATCTCCCCACCTAGACCATGAGTTTGTTGAGGATATGAATTAGATTTTATTCTTCGTCTGCTCTCAAAATTTAGCACAGTGTCTAGAAGAGAGAAGGCAGTCAATATGTACATGAAATGCATATGGAATGAGTAAACACATTCTCCATTTTGTCCAGAGAATCTTTATTTCCATAAATAAAAATGTCTCTCATTCCAATGAAGATAATGAACACTTTTGCAAGCATAATGTAGTTCCTCAAAGTAGCACATTTTCTAATTTTCCAGTAGGGTTTTTTTTTTTTTTTTAGCTATTTGTATTAGTCAGAATTCTCCAGAGAAACAGAACATATCCTTGTACGTGGCTTCCTGGGACATGTGCACCAAGATTTCCCCCTCCTCTAATATATATAATAGCAGCAGGGACCTTCAAAGGGTTAAGATTTCAATAAGACTTAGGCTTCCCAGAGCTACTCAGGACTGGATACTCTGCTAATTTGGAACCCCTGACTTATCTTTCCCTGGGATCACTTAGCTCTTTACCCTTTGAAGTCACACTAGGGAGACTCTTACTCTTATCTCTGAATGGTGCCTTAGCAACCACCACACAACAAGGGTTTTCTGGAGCTCCTTCATTAGAGAACAAATACAAGGTTTCCCTTAACACAGTTTGCCATCACCGTTAGACTGAAGGGCATGAGCCAGTGCTTTGTGTGTATGTACATTTTAGTTAGCTCCCTTCATGCACAAAGCATGATGCTAGATGAAGTCCCCTGCCTCATCATTTATGAACGTGACAGGCAAGATGAAACAGGACCGATACTGGATACTTGCATGATGATATGAAAAGAAGTAACTCTTTGCAAAGCTTCCTTAGGTATGTTTTTTTGTTTCCTTATTCTATCTATGTCTTATCTGTGGAACACAATTTTCTTATATTACTACATATTATATCTATATTATTATGACTGTGTCTTGTTATATAAACTTAAACCATCAGCGATGTCCTCCGTTACTGAGGTCTTATTCCAAACACTTTATCCACCCATCTCAAATGATGCTCAAAAATATCCTGATGTTAACATTCTCTTTGCCATTTGGGAGGTTCAGGAAGGTTAAAATTTACCTAAGGTGATAGAAGTAGCAGAGCTATGCTCAAACATTCATGTGTCTGACTCTAACGTGCTTAAGGGCCAGAGTTTTGAGGGAACTGTGGGAATCTGGGAGAGGTCTTCAGTCCCTATAAATGCAGCCTCTGATCAGCTTCTAAGCAGTTCTTCACCTGTCTCCATGACAATCTTGTTGCCTAGAAAAGGAAGGCTGAGATGGCTCCCCATTGTGAGCCCAGCTGCCACTCACTGCTGCGGATGTAGGTAGCCGAGGGTGGCAGACCTGGCACCTGGGGGTGGGTGGCCTGGGGTCACTCGGCCAGCTGCCTCAGAAGTCAACATGAGGGGAGGTGCAGCAACATTTGTGTAAAGAGCTTGGGGCTGGGAGAGAGAAACGCATGGTTCGAGTCTTGGTTCATCTGTTAGCTGCACCATCCTGAGCAAATCACTTAGCCCCTCCGAGCTTCAGTTCTCTCATTTGAAACAGGAGTTAATGAGACCTTCTTGCCTCTTCTGTGGGTTGTTATGAAAATCAAATGACTTAACCTTGGAAGAAACTGCTTTGTGAATTGTGAAGTTTTACATAATGTTGGTTATTTTTATCAGGGCTGATCAGTGGGGTGGTCTACCTCAGGGAGAGGCTGCCATGGAAAAAGGGGATAATGCAAGATGAAGTAGGGGGAGAGAACTTCCTGAGGGCTGCAGCTGCCGGGAAAGATTGTTGAGATGTGGTGTTTGATTGTTGTTGTTGGGATGAGGGGAGGGATACTGGTAGAATGATACACCAGAGATGAAAAGCAAAGATACCATGGAAGTGAAATCTTATCAGTTATATATTAGAATGAAAAAAAAAAAAAGAGAGAGAGAAACTTTGTCAACATTTGGAAGAGGTATCAAAGCACATGTAGTGCATTCCTTTATTCTTTGAACAACTTTGTGCATAGCATATCTGTTACTGAAAGAAAATGTTTAGATACTTGTTTACATGAATTTGCTTGATAGCTAATTAAATAATAAAATGTCTAGGTGAATATTTAGAAAATTAAGATAAGTGCATGATTTTAAGTTTGCCCCAATCTCACAAATTCCCAACACATCAGTTTCTTACATTTAGTTTGTGCATTGCATGGAGTGGAAGTCAGAGAAGGAGGACATAGGGTGTGGTGGAATGTGCACTGTTTCCGGTGTCTGACAGTTTAGTCACTGCCTCCCTCTTGACCTTGCCCAGAGGCTTTTCTTCCCCAAGCCTCGGTTTTCCCATCTGAAAAATGTGGGCGAGGATGCCTGTCAAGGCTGTCAGGAGATTAAATGGGATTACAGTACTGCATTTGGTAAGTGATGGTGCAGTCAACAAATGTCAATACCTTTACTGTGAAGGCTGGTGGCTTGAGATGGCATTAGGTATCCCCCCCCCCCTAATATTAATTGGTCCCATTTGATTCTTCCATTCTTGGAGCTCCTGATACCCTTGTCATCATTGGCCTCACTGGGGCAGTAACCGCAAAACTGACTTCCTTTTTGAGCAGGAGCCATAGTTGAGAGTGTGTCCTTTCCTTGTCAATGTGCTTACCATTCAGGTACACATTTAGGGCTGATCTCTGCCACATGGAGAGTTTTAGGCTGTAATCTTAGATGGGTCTGTGGCACCTGAGGGACAATGCACCTATATGATCTAACCCAGTCTGTTCTCCCCCTAGAGCTGAAACAATGCAGCCAAAGGGCAGAGATCAAGAACCCTTTGCATTTCTGAGTAGGGCTTTTCTGGCATATAAACCAAAGGCTGTTTCTCATGCCTGCTTGCCTGCCATCCCTTTGTATCCTCAAGGGCTTTTACCTGGCATTTCGCTGATTTTTATAAACAAGGTAGGGATTCAATGGCATTATCTGTTACTGACTGATCCTAGGATTTGACCAGTGGATTTGGCTGGCTGCGTAAGTATCTGCTTTCTCCCTGTACTAGTCAGGGTAGGCTAACTGCTGTAACAAACAATCCCCAAATTTTCGTGGCTTAGCGCAATTGTTTGTTTGTTGCTCATGTAAAGTTCAGTTGGTGGTTCCTGGCCAGTGAGAAGCCTTCCACGCGGTCATTTCAGGATGCAGGCTCCTTCAGTCCCATGGCTCTGCCTTTCTCTAAGGTCTTGGAGTCCTCCTTATTCAGCTGTGGAGCAGGAAGGAGAGGGAGGCATTGCATATGGCAGCATAGAAGGCATCCTCAGGGCCTCTTCCATTCAGTGCATGCCAGTCCCACTTCTAACAGCAGGGCCACCACCTTCCCTGAGGGTTTCTGTGGTCATCTGAGCCTGCTCTGCTCACGTGTGTAACAGGCCAGACGTGCCCAGAAACTAATTCATAGCCATCAAATAATGACTTACAAGGACTGGTGTATGACGATGTCGGGTCAAGGGTCACTTAACCCTTAGGTAGAGGTGGAGGTTGGGAAATCCTATGCTACTTAGCAGAGTTTCCTATAGGATTAAGCTACAGTTGTCTAGAATGGTAATGTGCTGAGTGACACATCCTTTATAGGCTCCCTTCCTTCCCTAACTCTTTTTCTCCACCCCTCCACTGGTGTTTCCTGAGGTCACCTTCCAAATAAACTACTTGTACTCTCATCCTTTTCTCAGGATCTGCTTCTGGAGTCACTTAAAACAAGACAGGAGGTATTTATAAGCCAGGCCTGGAAGGAGTGTGCCTTCCTTCTTTTCACATTCTGATGACCAGAACACAGGAACATGACCTCCTTTTACTGCAAGAGAGCATGGAAATGGAATGGGCTGTGTGCCCAGGATGAAGAGGATAGGGTTTGGTGAGCAGCTGGCTATCTTTTGTAGATGAGGATACTAAACTCAGAGATGCTCAGTAACTTGCTTATGTTCCCACAGTGAGTAAGGGGTAGACCTGAGAATGGAAGTCCATTGACTTCAAAACCTTTGGATTTCCAACCATACCAGAAGTGGGATCCGTCCTGCAGAGATGCACTGGCAGCTGGGTCGCACCCATTCCCCTTACAAAAGCCACGTGCTCCCACGTTCAACACAGTCCTCATTCCCTCTTGTCTGGCACTCCTCCACTCATATGTTAATATTTACATGCTTTTCCTGGACCTTAAAGGCTTTTGCTTAGGTATCTCCAGCACCAGGAGATGTTGTCTCCAATTTCAAATGCAGTCTATCCACCAGGATCAAAATTTAATAGCAATGGGATTTTTGTGTAATAATGAGCCAATAATATCAAGTGGGACTATGGTGGATCATGTCAAGGAATTTACAAATTAGTACAATGAATATATATATATGTAAGCAACTAGTTTTATCATAGGAATAAGTGGACAAAAGAGGTATGCACAAGGTGAAGCAGCACAAAGGAAAGAGTAGGCAATGCTGGCTGGGGTGTCTAGGAAGATAACCGGGAACAAGATGCTTGAGCTGGGTTTTGAAAGATGAGTTGGCATTTGCCAGGTAGAGGAAATAGAGAAGACTAGACATTCAGAAAAAAAAAAAACCAGCATGAGCAAAGCTATGGAAGCAGACAGGTGGTAGTTAAATGTGCTTAGAACATTGTGGATATGGAGAGAATGTAAGTCATGCAACTGGTGAGAGATTCTGGGATCAGATCATGAAAGACCTTGCATGACAAACTTTTTTTTTCCTTTTTTTGAGACAGTCTCACTTTGTTGCTCAGGCTAGAGTGAGTGCCATAGTGTCAGCCTAGCTCACAGCAACCTCAAACTCCTGGGCTCAAGTGATCCTACTGCCTCAGCCTCCTGAGTAGCTGGGACTACAGGTATGCGCCACCATGCCCGGCTAATTTTTTGTATATATATGTTTTAGTTGGTCAATTCGTTTCTTTCTATTTTTAGTAAAGACGGGGTCTCGCTCAGGCTGGTTTCGAACTCCTGAGCTTGAGCAATCCACCCGCCTCCTTGGCCTCCCAGAGTGCTAGGATTACAGACACGAGCCACCACGCCCAGCCAACAAACTTTTAACTACAATGCACTAAGAGAGCCATTAAGAAAAGTTAATAATTAAGAGTTAAAAGTTTAAGGGAAGTATACAATCCATAAGTGTTTATATATTTGTGTGTGTGTTTATCTATCATCTATCTATCAATCATCACCTATCTTCAGAGAAACCACTTGAAACTCCCTTTTAAGATTTCACGCATGTCAATTTCGATTAAGTTACACAAATTCAAGTGGCTTGAGTCCATTGTTGGTATTGCCCAAGGCCACAGGACTAGTCTGTAACAGAGTAGAGATTAGATCACTGGTCTCTGAATACCCAGCTAGTCACTTTTTCCTTAATTTTGACTTTTGGGTTAATTCAATGGGAAAAATAACAAGCAAGCCATGTGCAATGGGGATTGGAAAACTTTATTGCTAACCTTAAAAACACCAATGGTGTCACAAATACATGACCAATAATAAGGAGCCTCAGAAGTCCCTAAACACCTGCTCTCCTCTTTTTTCTTTGTTCCTCTAAATTCTGCCCCCATGCTGTGTGTTCCAATTTGACAGTAGCATTTTTCTCTCCTTCCCTCCTCCTCCTCATGTCTCCATCTCTCATCTTCAGTCTCAGTTTTCACTTCCGGACAAAATGTCATTATTGTTATTATTATTTTTATCCAGACCTGTCTCTGGGCTTAGATCTGTACCATCGTCATTCTAGTTTGGGTGAATTGGGGAGGATACCTTTCCCATGTTGGCTTCTTTAAGGGATCCATCCCCCAACCCAGGCTTCACCCCTATTGAATAATTCGGAGCAACAGGGGCAGTTGCCTTGGGGTTGAGAGAGTGAGGTTTTAGCTTGACTTTACCACTTAAATTCTGTGATATTGCACAAGTTGCTTCCGTTCTTTGGCTTCAAGGTTTTTTATTTGTTTTTCTAGTTGTGACAGGGAATAGTTCTAATTTTCTCTAAGGTTTTGTGTTATTTGGAACTTTTATAATTGCAAATGATAGAGAATCTAACACAAACTGACTTGAGTGATCAAGTGGATTTTACTAGCACAAGTAAGTGACATGTACATGGTTGGGGCTTGTTTCAGACATGACTGGATTCATTGTCCAGACAATGTCTCCTGTGTGTGGTTTCTGGTTCCTAGCATTTCT